GCTAGGCCGAGGTTGCCTCCGAAGATATCGGAATCCGAGATAAGCGGATAAGGGACAAGAGTCCTAGAATGAGAGAAAAACTCAACTTGGATATGGACAAGAGTCCTAGATTGAGAGAAGACTTCAGTTTGGGTAAAGATAAGACTCTTAGAGAGTTTATCTTAATCCTACTAGGAGTCCCAGATTAGCAGTAATCCTAAGTCCATTAGGACCGGGCTCCTTTTGGGACTAGGATTGTATTGGCTATAAAAGAGAGGCACCCCCATGGGTCTAAGGTATGCTTTTGATACTCAAGCTTGTGAGTTTAGTACTTGATTTATCTTTGAGAGATATACTGACTTGATCGTCGGAGTGCCCCCAGGTGGTCGAAACCACCGCGGGATTCTTATATTTCTGTTGCAGGTCAGTCAGGAGCCATCTATTCTGCTAGTGCTCTCCAGCTGATTACTAAGCGGGCAATGTGGTCGGAAAATCACCCACACAAAAGGTATTCCTTAAAATGGGATACCCTTGAAAGATTGATTTTTATATAATTCTGTCCCATTAAAAAATTATAATCACTCTTTGTTTGGTTTATAATTTTCAATAACAGTTTTCTAAGTTTTCAATTCATATTTTTGCATTTTTAGAGTTTTTTAAAAAATATTTTAATCATTTTTTTAGATCCACTTAATTTTGATGTACTTAAAAAGTATAAACTTGTACAAAAATATATTAAAAAATTTATTGAATACAATAAAATATGAAAATGTACTAAATATTTATATTTTTTTATATGTGGTGAATATTTTTTAAAAAAATTATAAATATTATACTTTTTAAGTGTATCTAGATTAGGTGGATCTAAAAAAAATTAAAAAATTATTGGAAAAAAAAAAGAAAAAAAAAACTCAATTTTTAAAAAAATAGTGTAAACCAAACAAGGTGATATATCATATTATTTTAAATTTTATTCACTCAATATCTTAAGAATAGTCATTAATCAGACACATTATAAAATTGAAAAAATTAGTAAAACATCTCTTTCTAAATTTGTGTAGTAGGAGAGGTCTAAGATATTTTTTTTTTTATTAGCTAAGGTCTCTCAGCATTTTCACAGAGAAAATTTGACTAAGAGAAATGTTGCTGAACTCAGAGAAATTTTACCTGACTCAGATAAATTTCTCTGATTCCACAAAAAAAATTTCAAAATTTCTCTAATATGATCACAAAGGAATTTCAAAAATTCTCCATGAAATCAAAGAAATTTCTTTGTAAAAATTGAAATTTCTCTGAGTCGGGTAAAATTTCTCTCAGCTGAATTTTCTCTGTAAAAATGTTGAGAGATCTTAACTACTATAAAAATATTATATGTCATTTGTCTTATAAAATCTTAATATCAAAAATCTTTAAAAAATTCTCTATAAAATAACCTGAGTCCTTCACATTTTGTTGAAGGCTTAAAAGAACATGAAGTATTAAAGGTCTTTTGCCACTATCTTTTTATTATTTGCGACAACTTATAACGGTCGCAAAAAGTACTTTTTTTAAGTAGTGGTTGGACCGTGTATGTTGAAATATATATATATATATATATATAAAAATGAATCTTGGCTGCTATTTTGACTAACCATGCAATTGAGGATTACGAAGTGGCCCTCATATTAGACTTCAGACTTGTACTAAGGTATTTAATAAGACAACAAATTGGTATAATAATGTGGGGTTTAGTATTTAGAAAAGATTAAAAAGAAAAAAAGTAAAGGATGGGAGAAGTAATTTTTAAAACTTTTAAATATATCTTTCTCATATTTATTTTTACCAAATTAGGTTTAAATTTAAAAAAAAAAATGAGTAAACAAGTTTTAAAAGATTTTTGAGATCACTAACACTAAAAACATAGAATTAAGGGAGATTTACGTGTAGGTCATGATAGGTGAACTTATTATCTTATAGGTTATATAATAATTAATGGCGTTTTTCATCAAACACTATAAAAAAAAAATTACTAATTGTTAATTTTTAGCAACAGTTTAAAAATTATCACAAAAAATGTCACTAATTATAAGTTTTAGCAACAGTTCTAAAAAATCGTCACAAAAAAGTGACACTAATTTTTTACTTTTAGCGACAGTTTGAAAAATTCGTCATAAAAAATGTCACTAATTGTAAGTTTTAACGAAAATTTATAAAAATCGTGAAAAAAAAAGTCACTAATTGTTAATTGGCGAATTACACTAACAATCTCTATAGTTTGAGCCTTGTGTCACTTTGATTTCTGACTTTTCAATTGTAACATAATTGACCCCGAATTTTGAATCTTATTCTAAATAATGACAATTGAATATACTATTACTCAATTTCAAGGGCAAAGTCGTCAATTTGATAAAATATAAACTAGTTTAATAAAAATAAATGTCAAAAATATATTTTTGAATTTTTAAAAATTATTTCTACCCACTGAAGATAAAATTATGTAAAATTGATAAATTTTTTAGACATTTATTTATTTATTTATTTTACCAAATTAATTTCTATTATGTATTTGGATGATGATCATGTAATGGGTAGTTATTTTTATTTTTATTTTCATTAAATTATTTTTTATTTTTTCAAAAGTCAAATATGGCGATAACTTTGATATAATTATTAAACCAATCCATTAAATCAAAAAATCCAAAACTAAAAATATATCATATATTAAATATATCGATTACACATTAAAAACCTAACAACCACCTATTACATGATCATCATCCAAACACATAATAAAAATTGATTTCATAAAAAATAAATAAATGAATAAATATCTAAAAGATTTATCAATTTTACAAAATTTTATCTTTGGTGGGTAGAAATTATTTTTAAAAATTCAAAAATATTTTTTTGACATTCATTTTTGTCAAATTAATTTATATTTTATCAAATTGACAACTTTGCCCTTTAAATTGAGTAATGGTATCTTTAATTGTCCTTATTTGGAACAAAATTAAAAATCAAGGTAAAATGTGTCACAATTTAAAAGTCAGAGACCAACGTGACACAGCCCCAAACTATCGAGACTGTTAGTGTAATTCGCCCTTGTTAATTTTTAGCGATATGCAAAAAATCGTTACAAAGAATTATTTTTAGCGACGATTTTACTAGAACTTATTTTCAATAGGAATTGATAAGAATTATGTCTAACTATTAGAACCCATTGATAGTTTATCCTAGAATTAAAACGCCTAATGGGTCATAGAAAGTGTAATGGAAGGGTAGGTTGAGATTTATTTTTCACGTCAATCACTTCATAACTGTATATAATTCCAAATTTTTCATTATATTTTCTAGAAAAATATTTGAAATACCGAATTTATCACCCTTAACAATTACTCCTAATGATGTGTTTGACAAGTGTCAAATTTTAATTTGTTAAACATTGAGATCTAACCTTAATGTCACATTATTAAGGATCATTTAAGAATAATACATTAGAAAATATAACATTATTGTATTTTCTATGAACCATTTGGTGATGCATTTTGTATTCCTGCTATTTTAAGATTGCCCCAATCCATGAATCCATTCAACAGCTTGAATCATATTTGTTATCACCCCACTTTAAGGTTATCTTTAAAATTATGAGATTTAGAGCAAATACGAGGCATCCCCTCTTAAAAAAAAAATTTTAAAAAAAATCGCCATAAGGCATTTTGCCTATTACAAAAGTACACTATTTATTATATATTTTTTATAAGAAGAAAGACGGTTTGTTTATATTTATATAGGACTCTTAAAAATAAATATATCGCTTTTGAGTGTTCAACTTCAAAAATAAAAAAAATAATTGGTTTATATAAGACTCTTTATGATTTTAAAAAAATATAATATATTTGAGAGGATAAAATTGAAATTTAAAAATAAAAATAAAAAAAGCTAAAAATAAAATAAAATATTTAATTGTTTTGATTTTTTTCTTTTATGATTTTTTTCTTTTATGATTTTTTTTTTTTTTTTTTTTTTTTTTTATTCAAATACCAACCATTAAGATGCTCTCTAGCTTCATCACGAGTAGATCTATGAATGTATAATGTATTTGATATTGTCATTTCAATACCAACAAGGATTCAAATTCCAACCAGTAAGATGCTCTCTAGCTTCATCATTGGGTAGTGATAGAGAGTTTTAACACTAGAGCTCTAATGAATGTTACATTGTGCCAATTCGTTTATTTTAATTATAATTTCTTATGATACGATATCAATAAAATATTATATATTATATCAGTAAACATCAGCTGCATCCACACAAATTTAAAGGTGTATAACATGAGTTTTTGCTAGTATTTATTAAATTGCAAAAAATAAAAATAAAATAAAAGTTCAACAAATAATTGCAAAAATGATGGTTGAAAATCACAAGAGATGCATATTCTGATAAAATATAATTCGCAGCAGAGCTTTGATAAAAAAATAAAATAAAAACAAAAACACCAGCAGTATGAGGGATATGTTGTTTGGTTTCAGGCAGTTCTGGCTTGTAACATCTGTAACAATTTCTAGTCACAACATTTCAATGAAGCTTCACGAAATTGTACAATAAACTATTGTTAGGATCAAAATTTTACCCAAAAACACAAGAATCTGCTACAATTAGACTGATCTAATATGGTTTTGGCAGGCTCGGCTTCATTCAATGTCTGTGTTTGGATCATAGTTTTGCATTGAAATTTGAAAAGAAAAAGAAAAAAAGAGAGAGAAATATGAATGAAATGTAATTTAAATATTTTCCCCATTTCTCTTGCCTTTCTTTTTCCTTTCCAAATCATTACCCAAATCCATGATCCAAATACAACCTTAATCTCTCCATGAACTGTTAGTTTTAAAATGCTTTGAGAGAGAGAGCTAAAATGGTCAATAAGTGAGAATGTTTAGGTCTGGTATTGAAATTCAATACTGAGATCAGCATCATCATCTACTGGGACATGAAGGCAAACCAGAGAGATACTCTTAAGGCACCTCAAATATGCACACAAGGAAGAATCAAGCATACAGATACTCTGATGCAAGTTGAAATAATTAAATAGCAGTGAAAGACCAAAAAATTGATGCATGGAATACCCTTAGCACATGCCAAACAGTAAAGAGAATAGCACAAATCAAGATTACAGAAACAGAAACACGACAAGTTGTCCCAGAGTGAAGCAATCTGTCGCGAGAATCATGAAATTAATATGTAGCTCAACGCTAGCATGCAAAAGAACACAACAATCCATGTCTGGTTTTGAAAACGGGATAAAGACCATACTTTTAACAGCATGTTGCACAAAAACAACAATTCAAGTCGGCCAAAAAAAAAAACTCACTAAGAAGCACAAGAGGCAGAGAGTTTAAGGCATTCGCTCTGACATCTCCGAAGACAGATGTCATTCCAATTGGGCACTTGATGTTGGTTGACATAGACAGTGCGAGCACAGGCATCAGAGCAGGCATCGAGCTCAGACACAATGATTTTATGTGAAAAAACTACAATTGGACACCTCCAATTGTGATAAAACATCATGGGCAAAAGCCACAAAACAATCCACTAAAAAGACATAAAGAAATTACACAGGTATACTCTCAATTACCTTGCGAATCCACGCCCGAATTGAACCAACCTCTATGTGCCTCTTCCAACCCCGTCTTCACCTCGGAATTGTCTCGACGATGAGCCACTCGAGAATCCACCAAAGCTTCAGGCTTGAATTCTTCAGAATCCACCGAAGAACAACTCTCACTTTTGTGTAGAATTAAACAAACAATCCTTTGATGTAAACTTCTTAAACCATGAGTTGAATACTCAATCAAAACATCAAAGAAAACTAGCAAAATAGCCTCAGATATAAACCCTAGAACCCAAGAAGAAGATCTGGAGGTGTCACCCTAGATTTGGAGCAACTTGCGAATTTATAGAATCTGAAATCGCGAGGTCCGCTCAAGCGTGGGAATTGACGCTTGAGCAGGGACACTATATGACGTGTTCCAAACTAGGATGTACGCTCGAGCGAGGAAATGGACGCTCGAGCGTGAAAACACGGATCACAGTATATGAAAACACAGATCACAGTATATTTGCAGACTCACCAAACTTCTGGAACTTAGTATTCTCTGCTCGAGCGGGGGAATGTCCACTCGAGCGGATAGGCAACTTAGAATGTATTTTTGCATTTTGCTTCGGGGGCATTGCCCATCGACCCCGCCGTGGCGCTGCCCCGGACCCGCTAAGGGGCGCTACCCCTTGGACCCCCGCGAGCTGACTGGGTAGCTCGATCCCCGTCCTAGTCAACGAAGTGGCAAACTTGAAAGAATTAACATTACAAACTTCTCTGCAAAGGCACAATTCGGGTTGGATTCGCATCTAAGAAATTCATAGCCTCACTGAAAAAAAACGCGAAAACAAGTACAACTAAAAAGAGTTTTGTCAAACGGGATTGCCAAGAAAAAAAACCTAACAATCTCCCCCTTTGGCAATGCCGTGACAAAACATACCTAACAAATAAAATCCTAATCACCCTAACCCATTACAGCCAACAAACGCAAATTTCTTTCTCAAGATCATGATCTGCAAAACAGCTATTAATGCCACAATCTCCAAAACAACTATTAGTCCCACAAGAGTATATGAAAAAGCAATAAACGTATGGCTAGATTATCTTGAAGCATGAGATGGAAAACATAAATAGATGCGTCTTGGAGTTTTTAAGAACATGTAGCATGAATAGATGAAAACTAAGACACATACACCTGACACATGCACCCGTCACATGACATGAATACATGAAAAACAACTTTCTCCTCCTTTTTGTCACGAATTGACAAAGGAAGCTCAATCAACTAAAGCAAGATCATAGACCACACAAGCAATGATATGATGACATAAATATCAGGAGTATGCAAGAAGGAAATAATAAGCAAACAGTGCATAGCAACATGCAAAACAACTATTGTCAATCTCCCTTACCAAGCAAATCAAAATGTTCATGCTAACAAACTCTTGTAATGATAAACCAAACTCCCCCTCGCTAAAAACAATGAACAAGAAGAAAAACGACAAAAAATAATATAGTGGAGCAAGAAAGGAATTTCAAATTTGGGCCTTCAAACACACAAGATTATCTAAAAAGTACAATTACTTGAAAATACAATGTGCATAGCCTCTAGAAGATTCCTCATAAAAAAAAGTGATGCCACATGTGAAAAGCATAGATCCTATGAAAAAAGTGTGTGTGACTCTTGGAGTTCGACAAACACAAGATTCAAATCCTAGTAGTGATTTGATAGCTGGACCTCTGATAAGAGAATCTAAACACAACTAAGGAAAGTCAAACCACTAGGAATCAAAGGGTATTTGTTGAGTAATAGCGGAGGCTCCCCCTCAATCAATGAATCCCTTTTTTTTACACATTTTTTCTTTTCTTTCTTTTGCACATTTTTTCTTTGTTTTGCACACTCATAGGCGGCTGACACGCTCAAGAGTATGGAAACTGAACTAGAGAAGCATGGATGTAATAAGGATAACCTGGTTGGTGACTCTAAGGTAACATTTTCCTTATGGTTGGACGACAAAGAATGGAAGGAAAAGCCATGGAGATGCAAAAAGATGGAAGGTGGTTAAGAGGCTCAACATCATCCATGATGTGCTAGTATAGGTCAATTCCTCTAGAAAAGCAAAAGATACAATGCCAGAAGTCCATAAAAAAAATGATCACTAAAGCGGAAGACTCCAATATTTGCTAATCCAAGAGTGTATACAGAATGAGACATACTAATCAAAGAACACACACTCCAAAATGAGTAATGACCATAGAAAGTACACACATATTTGTAATGGATATTCTCATCAATTCCAATATGCACCAAGGACGACTCAAAAATTTTAAGCTTGAAAAACCATACTAAGAAAATCTTTTTGGATTTTTTTTTTCTAAAATAAAGCAAGACAAAAAATGAACAAGCACACACTAAATGATACCACACATTAAATGACCCAAAAAGAAAAAAAGAAAAAAAACATAGAAACCCAAACACTAAAACGAATAAATAAAAAATTAACACAAGTCAAGTTTTCTCACCCAAACCGCTTTAGTATGAACAAAGTTGAGAGAATTGCGGTTCTTGAGTGGTGTCTTGACATTGTGGTTCCCTTCCCTTTCAATGGGAACCCGTCTCGGCTTGGTTTCCAACTTCATATTCCAAGGTCTAGGCAAACACACCCTTTGTTCATGTTTGGTCTCAAGCTGATCAAAATAGCGAGGTCTAATATGACCCTTAACCTCCCCACGACCAATGAAGTGTCTCCTACCCCATGAGATGTTAGAATTTCTTCCATCTCTATGAGACACTCTCCCATGCAACTCATAACAATAAGGCCGAATATGACCATACCTACCACAATGATGACAAACAAAAACAGGGCGTACAGGGTGTACCTTCTTTTCTTTGACCTTACCAACTCTAGAAAGTTTGAGAAGTCCATTCTCATGTTGAATTTTTTGTTCTCCCTTTCCTTGAGTTCTTGTATCATGAGATGTAGATGCACTCCCTTTCTGCTCTTTGTTGTCATCGAAGCCAATGTCACTCTTGTCACAACACATTTGTTGAGATCCAATGATATCCTCCAAATTCTTGATCCTTTGTTGCAAAGACCAATGGTAGCCATAGCACACTTAAGCTCTTCCTCTTTCTTGATCATTAGTTCTTCCAAAGCAACTTGAGACATCTCGAGAGATTCAATCTTTTCTTCATACATGGCATAGATTTGCTATAGCTCATTCCTTTCTGTCTCACAAGTCAAGAGTTTTGCACAAAGAGCTTGTCGATCATTAGCTATCTTGATGGCATCAATCCTAGCCTCGGAAATCTCCTCCTTAAGTTTGATATTCTCACTTTCACATGCTTTGAGTTTCGTTGTGACTTTTTCATTCAATTTGGATAAGTTAAGAGACTCCTTATACAACTTTTCATAAGCTTGCTCAAGCTCTTCATCATCACTCTCCGAGGATTCATCATCAGTGGCATTCTCAACTGACCTCTTCGGATACTCTGTTCGTCCTTCAGTTTCGAAAGCTGCCATGAAAGCAAGGAATTGTTTATGTCCCTCTTCGCCTTGATCTTCATTGTCACTTTCATCTTCATCAGATTCTGATTCATCATCCCAAGTGATAACGAGGCCTTTCTTCTTCCTCAAACTAGTGGGGCATTTTGAAGCAAAGTGGCCAAATCCTTGGCATTTATAGCATTGGACTCTTTTAGAGTTCCCTTGTATCTTTCATTTTCTCCTTCTTGGCTATAGAATTAATTTTGAGTTTATCTTTGTCTTTAGATTTATGAGTATGAGTAGATTCCAAAAGATTAGGATTCTTTTTCAAAAAAGATTTTTTTAAATTGTTTAACAAAAGCAGCCGTAATCTTGGAGTCTATCTCACAATCCTCATCAGAATCCTCTCCAACTCTATGAGCACTACTAAAACCAATAGCATCTTTTTGTTTCTTTTTGAAATTCCTATGTGCCTCATAAGTTTGGCAATTTCCAACCAAGTAATCCAGCTTGAGGTTGTCAACATCTTGAGCCTCCTCAATAGCCGTAACTTTTGGTTGGAACTGATCGGGCAAGGATCTCAAAAATTTTCCCACAACTTTGGACTATTATTTTTTCACCTAAATTGAAACTGAAATTTACAATGACACTCAACTTCGCATAAAATTCATCAAAGGTCCCACTATCTTTCATTAAAAGGTTTTCAAAACTAGATGTGAGCCATTGAAGTTTTGAGGGTTTCACAGAAGGAGTGCCCTCATGAATAGTTTGTAAGATATCCCAAGCCTCTTTTGCGACTTCACAATTACAAATACGACTAAACTCTTCAGGTGTGACAGCGTAAAAGAGAGAATTCATAGCTTTATTATTCCAGCTACTATTTTGGTAATTAATTGTGTCCCACTTATCAATTGGCTTGGGAAAGGTTACTCCATCAATGGTGATCGTTGGTTCGGTCCACCCATACATGACAGATTGCCAAACTTTTTCATCAATAGATTTTAAAAACGATCTCATCCAAGCTTTCCAAAAAGAATAATTAGATCCGTCAAGTAGGGGTGGTCGAACCATAGAATTTTCCTCACAAATTGAATCTATTATCACAAATCAAACAAGATCTCGCTTTAAAAGAATTTTTAAAGAAAAACTTGAGCGACCCGCTCTGATACCAATTGAAAAACCTAGAAATCCCCTAGATGTTGATTTGTGATTATGTATCAATTTTAAGCAATATATAACAATCCTAATCACACAATCAAGACAAATCGACACAATGATTTTACGTGGAAAAACCGCAATTGGACACCTCCAATTGTGATAAAAAAATCACGGGCAAAAGTCACAAAACAATCCACTAAAAAGACATAAAGGAATTACATAGATATACTCTCAATTACCTAGCGAATCCACGCCCGAATTGAACCAACC